AGCTATGGTGCTTCATCTGCAATAATAGACTATCGTTCCTGGAAAGTTGCATACTTGGAACGATAATGACGGATAAAGACTTTGTTTAAAGACTTTTTTTTGTGTTTCAACTGGTACATCGAGCTCACGCTAAAAGGATATTTCAAAAAGCTATTGCGCTTCATCAACCAAGGGAGTTCCATTTGTATGAAATTGCACACTGGGAAATATAATGATAGATCAACACATCCGCATGTACGATATCCTGGAACATAATTGAAATACGAAAAAGTTCATCAAAGCGTCACAAACCATCGCAAATAATTTGGTACGTATTATATACTACAATTAATTATCTTCATTCTCTTTAGTCATAAACGTATTATTTGCTACATTTAAATACGTATTATTTGCTACATTGAAATACGTATTATTTGCTACATTGAAATACGTATTATTTGCTACATTGAAATACGTATTATTTGCTACATTGAAATACGTATTATTTGCTACATTGAAATACGTATTATTTGCTACATTTAAATACGTATTATTTGCTACATTGAAATATCTTCGGTTATATAGCTACTTGAGTAAAATCATAAAGACATTTATTTAACAAAACTATTCTCAATTTAGAGCATTACGTTTTTGACAAAAAGAAGCACCTTGAAGCCACTGCTGAAAATTTTTGAGGAGCAGTGGATTTCCTAAGACGACAAACAAAAAGGTATTAAAAATCTCTTAAATATACACCGATCAATTTCATAAGAGTTGATCATTGTGTCGGGAAAAAATGTTTTTCATTGGGAGAGCGTATTTTTAAGAAGATCGAACGGCATTTCATATGTCTCGTAACGTTGTATAACACCATCAACAATGGCAGTTAAAACATAATTTTTGTAGTTGCCATGCAATGTTTTGATTTAGAGTAAATGATAAAAACAGTGTTCGTATTGGCGTTATATTAACTTGGTGCATTTATCTCAAAAGTGTATTTTTTTCATTATTTTCATGATAGCAACTTTGAGTTTCCTAAAACAAACTTTTTTATGTTGTAGTAATGAAATACAAGAAAATATGTTAGTTCATATGGTTGTATCACCTCAGTGTTATTTTCGTTGACATCACTGAAAAACAGTCGTAAGAGACGTCACGATTTTCGTCACCCGTACAATTGTTTTCAATAATTACCTTACATATGCATCACTGATATCCATGGCTACGACAACAACGTCCCGGATAACATTATGGCTATCGCCGTCACGTTATTCATGGTACTGGTGCGTTATTGGAGCATCAACTTGTCTGAACGTAAAGACTGGAGACGACTATTCAGGTGCAATGGTTTAAATTGTTTATTTTAGTTCTAATCCTGGTGATCAACATTAACAGGAATTGGTTGAATATTTAACTGAGCTGTAAAGTGAAGTCTAATGTTCTCCAATATGCCTGTTAATGACTTACTTGCTTGATCAAGTGCTTCTTGGCATACAGTAAACTGCGCGCACAAAAATGGCGTCCGCGATTATCCGTCCGTTGTTATTTTTGTCTGTATTTTGATCACCAAGGATATACGATCTTAAGCTTGAAGAAATGTGCATGGGTTTCTTTAAGTTTAGTTCGTATGTGTCAGGTTTTACTTTAAATATTAAACTTTTAAACGAATAAACGTAACTAGAATTTAATAGTTAATGAAGTATTATTTAGCTTTAATTTACTATCCTATAGCTATTGCATGGATGTTAATAAGTACACAAACTAAAGTAATATGGTTGGTTAAACACTTCGTATGGCGAAAATAAATGCAATGGCGTATTTTAAACAATAACTAAAATAATTTTAATGTCTGAAATATTTTTCTTGATGGTAGCAAGTTTCTATAGCCAGCAATTAGCTAATTGTCTTTAAAGTCATTTTTTCAACCATGCAAAAAAAGTTCTTTCAAAAAATGTTAAGATAATATATTTCAGAAAAAACCTTTTGAGTAATAGCGTTGTCAAAGATATCAGAGCTCCATCGTGAAAAATATTTGTCTCATGAAAAGTCTATAGCAGCGCAGATGTTATAAACGTCATCAAAAATGGCTGAAAATGGCGTATTCGTTTTTTTTTGAAAGTACCAGTTTGGAACTTTCTTTGCCAACAGGCAATTTTTGTGGTTTGTATGCTGCTTTGTTAGCCTGTGCAATGATGCAAAACCTTGTAAAAATAGAACACACAGTTTAAAGGAGTTTGTAACATAATTAAGGCGTAAAAAAACCTAGAACTGCATGAGTTGTTGTAAAGATAATGATAAATAATAGGGAGGCTCTCACGGCAGTTATACATCCAACCCGACATTGAATAAGCTTTTATAGCATATTTCATGTCTGAGGGTTTTCCTCCGGCGAAATGTTGAGCAATAGTTCAATACACCGGTTTCCCTCAACAACAAAAAAGGGTGGCCATGTATGGGACCTATTGTAAGGATTGCAGGGTTATCGGGTTGGATTCCCGATCCACTCGTAAAGGAATTATAC